GGAAAATATCAGAAATATTTATCATTATAAATATTAACGATATTTTCATGATGATGAACCTGAAAGGTAAAGAGGGAAAATCTGACCTTGACCTCTTGACCCCCATGTCCAAACAACACATCAGCCTGGTCCATCAGAACCACCAGAACCGGTCTGCTCCACCAGAACCACCAGAACCAGTCTGGTCCATCAGAACCAGTCTGGTCCATCAGAACCACCAGAACCAGTCTGGTCCATCAGAACCAGTCTGGTCCATCAGAACCGGTCTGGTCCATCAGAACCGGTCTGGTCCATCAGAACCGGTCTGGTCCATCAGAACCACCAGAACCGGTTTGGTCCATCAGAACCGGTCTGGTCCACCAGAACCATCAGAACCGGCCTGGTCCACCAGAACCATCAGAACCGGCCTGGTCCACCAGAACCATCAGAACCGGCCTGGTCCACCAGAACCATCAGAACCAGCCTGGTCCGGTCTAACCGTCCCTCTGTCCTGCAGGCGGCGATCGGCTCCAAGGCGTTGGACCTGGCGCGGGACGAAGGCGATGAGACCTTGATCCAGTTTGGTCTGGACGTGCTAACGCTAGCGGTGCTAGCTATCCTGATCACGGCTCCCATCGGGGCGCTGGGGATTGGACTGGCTGGGCCGCGCCTCCTGGCCCGACAGGTCAAAGGTCAGCTCACAGTCTGGAGGTTTTTACTGAGCTCAACGGACGACCCGGTCCATTGGTTCTGGTGTGACTGGACCTTGAACTGTGAAGCTCCTTCAGGTGCTTCAGGGAACCTGATGAGAAGGTCAACCCAAGGTCAGGGGTCAGAACCACAAAACCCTTCAGGATTGGACTGAAACGTCCTTCAGAACCAGCAGAAGGTCCAGTCGGGTTTTATTCAGCTGGAATGAGACCAACTGGAAAACCACTGATTATGAACCAAACAGTGGTGGCCACACTAATGCTAACAGTGGAGCTAACTGTCTTTAGCGCTTTAGCTAATTTAAAAAATGTTTAGTGTGCTAACTTTATGCTAAATTAATTTTTCCAGATTAATTTTCCAGATTTTCTTGTCTGTTCTGTAAACCTGCAGTTGGATTTCCTCTCCTCACTTTATCCACCCAGTGATGTTTTTTCTGTACCCAGAATGCATTTCTGTTTAAAATCCACCTGTGTGCTTTCTGACCAAACTCCTGCCATCATCAGGTAGATAAAATCAGCATCAGAGTGAAAAAACTCAACGAATATAAACCTGAAACGACGAGAAGAAAAACTTCCTGAACCCGTTCAGGTGTAATGACACATCTGACCCTGTAGAGGGAGATACGATGTTCCAGCACATGTTGGGTAGCTAATGAATTTGGTGCATTAGCTTCCCCTAAATGTCATGTTGCTATAGAGTTCAGAGTTAGCATCTGTTAAACACCATGTTGGCAGTGTCTTAGCATTAGCTTCCTTTAAACATGTTGGTGTAGCACTTTAGCATTAGCTCCCACTAAATACCATGTTAATATACTGCTTTAGCATTAGCAGAACTAATGTTTATGATTAGCGCTTTAGGGTTAGCATAGCTAACTTTTTAGCTAGCAGCCCACCTCTGTATGCTGGTTGCAGGGTTCTGACCTCTGACCTCTGACCATCAGTTCCTCCGCTGCTCTGAATCAAACCAGTGAATCTTCATCATCATCATCATCATCATCATCATCATCTTCTTCTTCTTCTTCAGGATGTTTACTTTGTTTTCTCTAAACCCAGCAGGTGAGACGGAGAGGGAAGCCCCGCCCACCTGCCCTGACGCACCTGCTGAGGAAAAGAGTCACGTGATCATTGAGAGCAAAGTGTGACGGTTCTGACCGGTCCAACCGATCAGAACCAGCCCAGTTCTCCCAGCAGGACAAACCCATCTGCTGGATCACGAACGTCGGGACGAAGAAAAAACAGAAACAAAAATCTCCTCGTTCCTGGATGTTTTCTTCTTTATGTTTGATTTTTATTGTTTTTTTAATAAAGATTTATTCTGCTGTCAGTAAAAAATTACTAATAATTTGAGCTCATTTAGTGTTTATTATTGGATGTTTTTAACTTTATTATTTCCGCTGAGGATAGAAATGAACTTTGTTACAGATGAGAGGAAACAGTTTGTTTTATTGTGGAGGGAACTACAGGAAGTGGAGTCGCTCTGCGGTCAGGCTGAGGCTGAAGCTGCAGGCGTCTACAGGAACCGATTCTGGGTCAGAACCGCTCCGTCCACCAGACCAACACCTCCTCATTTAAAACACCCTGAGATCAGAACCGGGTCAAACTGGTACCATGTTCAGGAAAACCAGGCAGGAAGACTGGGACTGTTGGGAGAAGGAGGTCGTTACGTTTCCTTCACGTCAAAATAAATCTGGTTTTAATGTAGCTTTATTTCACCAACATGAACTCAGGTTATTATAGAGAGTCCTGGAGGTCCAGATGTTTGGAGGTCCAGATGTTTGGAGGTCCAGATGTTTGGAGGTCTGTGCCTCAGCCTGCACCGGACCCGGATCCACCAGAACCAGCTCCTCCTAACAGGTTCTGTGTTTCTCTGTTAGAAACCAAAGTTCTGCTTTTGTAACCAGAACTGGACCTTTGATGCTGCAGCAATAAAAACTGAATTTAATCTAATCTGACCAGTTATTGTTTACAGTGCAACATCTTTTAATCTGATCTTCACCACTAAACAGATTAATTATACCTTCATTTATTATTTATTTATCTGTGGCTGCAGATGAATCAACACCTTCCTGTTGCCACAGCAACCTTCCTGTTGCCACAGCAACCTTCCTGTTGCTACAGCAACCTTCCTGTTGCTAAAACCTGGAAAATATTTAGAAACAAACTGCTGATCCAGCTGGAAATGGACCAATCAGAGCTGGATGCTCCTCAGCTGCAGCTCCTGGAGGTTTCCACGGCAACGCCTACCTGACAATCCAACATGGCAACCAAAGTGGTAGAAAGACAGAAGGTAGGTAATGTCAGTGCATCAACAGGAGGGTTGTAAATATTCAGGTTAGCTTAAGCCTTAAGCTAAGCTAACCTTAGCTAGCCTAAAATGGTTGTTGTCTCAACAGGAAGCGATTTATTCCGTATCGTCTAAATGTCTGACAGACTCACCTGTCACACATCAACAGTAAGTCTAATAATAATGGTCCAAACAAAACATGGGAAATATTAAGGTCAGCTAAATTGTCATTGTGGGACGTAAACATGATCTCCCCCCGCCCCCCGTTTAAAAAATAAAGAGAAACTGTTTATTAAAAACCTTTGTTAGGATTGTGTAGGAAAAATGCTGATATATTTTATAAGTTCAGTGTTTTGTGGTCAATATTATTTCACCATTTTATTAATGTGGGTTGCCAGTTTGGATCAGGCGAAGCTATAAGGATGATAGAAAACATGCTAACAAAAAGCCTCAGACCTGCAGCCCATAGGTGGCGCTAGACTCAGGCTAACAGAAGAGGCTCTTTGGCTCACTGACATATTAAATGATGAAATATTTCCCTGTTTTTGTTTAATTGCCCTGTAGGCAGCAATTTATTCACACATATGTTTTATTATTATTGATACTTTAATAAAGATGAGTTGTACAAGTTTATGTAATGGGGGTCAGTGGGGGGGGTGACATGTTCACATACACCTCAGAAAGGAAAGTATGTAGTTGCTCCCCTGGTTGGTACCCATGAAGTTCTGCAGCCTACAGAACCGGGCCGGCTGCGGTTTGGACCGAATCGTCTCCTGCAGCTCATCACATCCTTCGTTATCCTGCAAACATCAGAACTGATCAGATCTGAACCGTCGGACCTTCAGCCCCTCGTCTCAGTTTCCTGTTTTTGCTTTTAACTCGGTTTTTGTTCACAGCGACGGCTTCAGAAACCACAGAGCTGCTCAGAACCCGTCTGCTGCACGCAGACCCTGACCTGGTTCTGGTTCTGGTTTCTGCAGCTGAACCCAGTCTGGACCTGAACTCGGCTCTGCAGGGAGAGGAGCTGCTTCACCTCCATCTGACCCAAAACCGGCAGCAGGAACAAGGCAGGGTCCGTCTGAGGAGGGAAGGTCCAGAACCTGAAACAAAGTTAAACCAATGTTCAGTTCCACCTCAGAGCTGAAGGTTCTGGACTCAACATGCAGATGAGTTACCAGAACCAGAACCAGAGTTCAGGTTCTTCATTCTCAGTGTGAAACTCGCTTTGTGGAAACGCCTCACATCACAAAGCCACAAAAACAAAGAGTCAGCAGAAATCACACCCACGTCACACCGAGGCAGCTCTGGGCCGCCAGAACCACAGAGCCAGAACCAGAACTAGATCTGAACCTAAACCTGAACCAGAACCGGAACCGGAAAAATGGCGGGGTCACCTGGAGGACAGGGTTAAAATGGATGGAATATTATTATTATTATTATTTTATTATTATTATTTTATTATTATTAATTTATTATTATTATTATTATTTTTGTTGTTGTTATTATTGTTGTTATTATTGTTGTTGTTGTTGTTATTATTGTTGTTGTTGTTATTATTGTTGTTGTTATTATTGTTGTTGTTGTTATTATTGTTGTTGTTATTATTATTATTATTATTATTATTATTATTATTGTTATTGTTATAATTGTTATTATTGTTGTTATTATTATTATTATTATTATTATTATTATTATTATTATTATTATTATTATTATTGTTGTTGTTGTTGTTGTTAAACCAACAGCCTGCTTCCTCTGGGCCCTTAGAAACACATTTAAACTCATAAGTCATGCCTGTTTTCACACAGTCTGATCGTTTCTCAGTCTAAGTTTATCTTGTCAGTTTTATTTCCTCTTTGGTTCCATGAAGAGTCGATCGTTTCTCTGATCGTCTCCAGTCCATCGCTCAGTTTCAACATGAACACAGTGAGCTGAGCTCTCAGCCCTGAGGGACTCCATCCTTCGATCAGAGCCTCTGTGGGCAGCTTGTGGTTTCTTCTGATAACTTTCTGCGTTTCCTCATAGTTTCGTAGAAATGTTGGTTTGTTTCTGAGGCCAGATGTTTCCACGCTGAGCGTCCTGCTCACCTTTATCGCTCGTCAGATAAAACTGGTGTGAAGCAGCAGCTCGGTGCCAGCAGCCTGAATCTGTCGCGTGTCTCGTTGCTCTCACATCCTCCTGCCGCCGGCTGCGGTTTGGCTCAACAGGATGTTCTTGACTTCGCTCTGAGACGGACAGAACGGCTTCAGCCTGCAGACGAGATGAACGCCGCCGCACCGCCGATGCTGCTCTGTGAGTTCAAAACACCTGGAGCTTTACTCAGCCGAGGAGAAGAAACGTTTCAGACTAACAGGAATGTTTCAGAGTAACAGGAACGTTTCAGAGTAACAGGAACGTTTCAGAGTAACAGGAACGTTTCAGAGTAACAGGAATGTTTCAGAGTAACAGGAACGATTCAGAGTAACAGGAATGTTTCAGAGCAACAGGAATGTTTCAGAGTAACAGGAATGTTTCAGAGTGATTCCTGCTCCTCGTGTTTCCACAGATTTATCTCTGAGCTTCAGCTGCTGCCAGATGGTTTCCTGCCATGGTGAGTCCAACAGAACCGGCCTCAGAAACACAACCTGTTCACTGTCAAGTCGTAAAACATTCATGTTTTAATGTTGGATCTTTTCTAAAAGATTAAAATCTTAACAGGAAATAGCCAGAAACTACTTCCTGTATTTTTACAGAAAAACAGTGACTGAACATTTCACTGGAAACATCAGCTGAATATTTACAGCTTCTTCTTTCTGAAAACATTTTTATAATCTTTATGCTTTTGCTCTGTTTTCTGCCCTTCCATCTTTATCCCGTCCTCTGATGGGGTAAAGATGGAGGCCCAGCATCAGAAGGGTCGCCCAGCGTACGACCTTTAACCTTTACTGTGTGTGGCTTTGGAAATTCCCTCTCTCCTGGCGCCCCCTCTCTCCTGGCGCCCCTTCTCTCCTGGCGCCCCCTCTCTTGTGGCGCCCTTGCATGCAGTGCAGAGCCACGTTCTGCTCCGCTGCTTCAGGCTGGTCTGTATCTGGTTTGTGTTTCTGTCAGGTCTTGACTGAAGCTTCAATCCCAGATTAATCTTCATCAATCAGTTTAATCCCAGATTATCGGTTCTGGATCCGTCCTGATTTAAACATGTTTATACTTTTAGCTTCATTTATTTATTTATTCATGTTTTTACACTTTATTGACAGTCGTCATGTTGGTGAGCTTCTTGTTGGATCTCCTGATCAAAGTCATTGATCAGCTGCTGATCAGCTGGGTTTGATCTTGTGAATCAGTGACTCTGAGCTTTTTAAAGTTCAGCTGAACATTTTGACCCGGCAGGTTCTGCTGGTGGTTCTGTTGTGTCTCGGTTGGTTCTGGCGCTTTGCTCTCAGCTCCTCCTGAACGTTTCAATCAGCCTCTCAGGAAACCGACTGTCACCAAGCAGTTCAGCAGAATTTAGCTGATTTTTACTCTAAACTTGATGCAGCTTGTTGTTGTTTTAAGGAGCTTTATAAATAAAATAATATTATATTTGACCATTTTTAGTTTTATTCCTGTTGGTTCAGTTTATCCTCTTTGTGTTTTTGATTTCTACCTTTAGATTCGTGTTTATTTCTGTCATCAGGTTCAGGTCTGGTTTCCTCCAGCTGCTCCTCGTCTGCAGTGTTGCTTGAATCATAGAGACTGTAAACCTTTCAGCTCTTTAATGAAATCCTCCAGGGTCGGTTACCGTTAAAGATTTATTAGATTATTGTTAAATACTCGGAAATTCTCTAAACTTAATATTTGTCTAAGATACGATGTGATAAATCTTTAGCTTTGCTGTGAAGCTGTTTGGGTTTAATGCAGATGAACAAACGTTCATGTTGTGAAGAAATATTCAATGTGTGATAAAATCATGTGTCTGAGGTGAGACTTATGATCCTCTGCTGAGATAACAGACCTCGTCTGTTTGAGGTTTGGTAGGTTAAACATTTCATTTCTTTCTTTATGAGGTTTTCAAACATGAAGTTTGAGTCCAGAATTAAACCAAGATGGACGCCCAGCTGCAGTTTCCTCCAGAAACCCCAAACTCTGATCTGAACCTCAGAGATTCACTTGTGATGTCAACTGTGGCTAATGTGGCTAACATAGCTAATGTTGCAAACATAGCTAATGTTGCTAATGTGGCTAATGTTGCTAACATAGCTAATGTGGCTAATATTGCTAACATTGCTAATGTGGCTAATGTTGCTAACATAGCTAATATTGCTAACATTGCTAATATGGCTAATGTTGCTAACATAGCTAATGTTGCTAACATTGCTAATGTGGCTAATGTGGCTAATGTTGCTAACATAGCTAATGTTGCTAACATAGCTAATATTGCTAACATTGCTAATATGGCTAATGTTGCTAATCCCAGAGGTGGGACCAAGTCAGTCTTTTGCAGGACTCAAGTCTGAAACTTTTAATTTCCTTCTGAATCTTTTTTTACAATGTTTCAGTTATAAGTTAAATGTAAATAATTGACCATGTGTCTTTTTAAAATGTGTATTTATGTCTAATGTTGATAAAACGTGGAGCTGAACACGAAATTAAATTTCACCTCTGCATCACAGTTCAGTTAAACTTTAAATTATCCAGAACAAACATTCAGTAAAAGAGACAAAAGCAGAACTCCATGTTCTGATGAAATGCTGACATTTCCATTAAACTAAAACACAAAACAATGTTCAGCATGTGGGTTAAACTCCACTGACTCTGATGTTCAGTCCTTACAATCGTACAATTTTTATTTTTGCAGAAATTTCAGAAGGACAGAAAAATTACTGGATTTTGTTTGTTTTTCTAGCAAAACTAAACCAGATGGAAATAATCTGTGTGACGATCATCTGAAGAGTTCTGACTGAACCAACGTAATGCAGTGATCAAAATATACTGCTAAAAAAAATAAAGGGAACATCTCACTTTAATTTTGTGTGTGGCTCCAAATCCAGGCCTCCATTGGTTAATAAATTTGATTTCTATTGATGATTTTTGTGTGATTTTGTTGTCAGCACATTCAACTTTGTACAGAACAAAGTATTCAATGAGAATATTTCATTCATTCAGATCTAGGATGTGTTATTTGACTGTTCCCTTTATTTTTTGGAGCAGTGTATTTATTGACAATATAAACTCCCGATATAAACCATGGACCTGGTTCATCTTCATGATGGACAGAGAGAAACTGAGGTCAGGAACCGAACCGGCTTCATGACCCGGAGCCGCTGGCTGTCCACTAGTAATCCAGAGCCAACAGGATGAATTTAATCCAGAGCCAATAGGATGAATTTAATCCAGAGAGAACAGGATGAATTTAATCCAGAGCCAACAGGATGAATTTAATCCAGAGCCAACAGGCTGCATTTAATCCAGAGAGAACAGGATGAATTTAATCCAGAGAGGACATTCTGAACATATCTAGGTTTGAACCACCAGATTTCTCCAGCATGACTAAACGCAGCATGCAGGAAGCTCAGCGGTGTCACCAGCGTAGCTCGGCGTTAATCTGCTAATAACAGGAAGTTAGCTAAAGTCAGCTATCTCATTGCAAAAGAAAAGTAGCTCCTTCCTCTTTATGTAACTTCAAATGTCAAACAGTTGGAGGCTGAATCTCCATCTGAGATCCTCTTACAGGTTTTATAATTGATGTATCAAAAACAAATTACAGTGGGAGCAGATCTGCTTTGAGCGTTTTAGTCTCGTTTTTTTCCCCATTTTTTTGTTTTTTTTATCCTGTTAATTTGATTGGTTGATACAGAGTGGAAAAACAGAGGGACGGTCTGTGTCTGTCAATGCTGAATGAGAGACATTAATTAATGGGGCCACTTTATAAATAATATGAGTTTTAAACCTTAGACTTTGTGTAAAATATCAAATCTTTTCAATTAAACTGAGGATTTGAGTTTTTCTGTGTATATTTAGGTTTCTGTTCACTTGAGTCTGTGTTGGTCTTTCTACCCTCCCAGCTGTGTCCTGTTCCCCTGATTACCTCCCTGTGTGTTTAAACCCACCTGTGTTCCTCGTTCCTTGTCGAGTTTTCGTCTAGTCTGCCGTTTTGCCTGTTCCTGTCTTTGTTACACCGGTTGCTACCAGAGATTAGCTCCTAGCCTTTGCTCACTCTGTGCTGCCTGGAATTTTGTATTTTCATCATTAAATCATAATTTTCCCTCCATAACCTGGGTCCACCACTCAACTAACGCATTTTATGACAAACAGCTTAAAGTCCAAGTTATTGGTGTAAAAGTCAAGACTGAGTCTTTGAACATTTCTTCAAGTCAAACTTAAAGTCTTAATTTTAATAACTCAAGTGCCCAACTCTGGCTAACACTGCTAAGGTTGCTAACACTGCTAATGTTGGTAACACTGCGAATGTTGGTAATGTTGCTAATGTTGGTAACATTGCTACCACTGCTAATGTTGGTAATGTTGCCAACATTGCTAAGGTTGCTAATGTTGGTAATGTTGCTAACATTGCTACCACTGCTAATGTTGTTAACACTGCTAATGTTGCTAACACTGCTAACATAGCTAACCCTGCTAATGATGCTAACACTGCTAATGTTACCAGTGCTAACATTGCTAATGTTACCAGTGCTAACATTGCTAATGTTGCTAACACTGCTAATGTTGCTAACACTGCTAATGTTGCTAACATTGCTAATGTGGCTAATGTTGCTAACATAGCTAATGTTGCTAACATAGCTAATGTTGCTAACACTGCTAACATTGCTAACATAGCTAATGTTGCTAACACTGCTAATGTTGTTACCAGTGCTAACATAGCTAATGTTGCTAACATTGCTAACATTGATAACATTGCTAACGTTGCATCCTTCGGAAACAGAAGCATCTCCTCCCTCCTCCCTGGTCGTCTCCCCCAGCCGGTCTCAGTTCTTTGAGTACGGTTCTGTCTCCATCAGCTGTGAGCGGTTTGGACCGGACGGATGGATGGTGTGGAGACAAACCGCATCAGGGTGAGTTCACCATTCATCCGCCTCGGTCCCAGATAAAGGAACGTCCTTCATGACTGATGACTGGACCTTCGTCTGGAAGCTGAAGCCTCAGCGTGGCTCCAGGTGTGAGGGAAATGTCCGCTGTGTGTCCAGGCTGCAGGTGTCTCCATGTTCTGTGTGGGGAAGTCAGACCTCCTCCACCTGCACCATCAGCACCCTGAAGAAGACGGACAGCGGCGTGTACTGGTGCGAGTCCAGATACCGGGACAGCAGCCACACCGTCAACATCACCGTCACCAGTAAGAGACGCATGTTGATGTTCAGGGAACCACAGGCAGACCAGTCAGACCATCCAGCTTACTGGGACCAAACCATCAGCCTAGAACCCTCCAGCTGAACGTCCCTCTGTGTCTCTGTGGAGCCGGACAGGTGGTCCTGCTCGGTCCAGTCCTTCCTGTGACGGAGGGAGATGACATCACTCTGACCTGTCAACATAAGAGCGGAGCTCCACATTCTAACGCTGAGTTCTTCAAAGACGGATCCAAGATGGCGTCTGAAGGCGAACTGGTCCTCCGTAACGTCTCCAGGGCCCATGAAGGAGGTTACGCCTGTAAAATCAACGGGGTCACATCTGAGACCAGCTGGCTGCTCATCAGAGGTCCACCAGCATCTATGTGTTATACATCTATGGTAGAAGAGTTTCCACTGACTGGGTGTCCATGTCTGTCCCCAGATGTGTCCAAGCCGGCGTCTCTGACTGTGAGTCCGGACTCGGCTCAGGTTCCAGAGTATGGCTCCTTCAGTCTGAGCTGCAGCAGCTCGGCTCCAGGATGGACCATCAGACGCTTCTCTGACACCAAAAAGACGTCCAGCTGTGGGGGAGACTGGGGCGTCCTGTCTTCTTCTTCTGTCTGCAGCCTGCAGACGGCCAAGAAGTCTGACAGCGCCCTCTACTGGTGTGAGTCTCCGTCCATGCAGCGGAGCAACACGATTCAGATCACCGTGCATGGTAGGTACCACAGCTGCAACACCGTTAGCACAAACCGCGCTGTCGCTTTAAGGCTCCTCCCACAACGCTCAGTCCGCTCTGATTGGCCACAAAGGAACCAATCCAAACACAGGTCCACTTCCTGTAAGCTTAGAGCCTTCAGGTCAGATTCCAGAGTTTAATGCAGCAAATGGGTGGAAAACATCTTTTGATCTCATAAAGATTTTAATTTTCACCTTCCTGAGGCGACGGAGCAAACGGCAGCTTTGATCTGAAGCATTTCCTGGTTTAAAGTCCATTTAAAGTCTAACGGACCCCAGAGCAACTTTTTATAAAGATAAACTGTCTAAATATTTGATGTTTCTGTGTCAATTTGGACATTTTTGTGTAAATTTGTTTAGTTCTGAAATATTTGACTGCAGACCGTCTCAGTGCTGCCCCCTGTGGATGGACAGCGGCTACTGCAGCTGATTATTTCTGCTTCTAACAGTCCAGCTTTATGTCACCGGTACCAGTTCAGGTCCAAGACCAGTTTCACTCCAACACGCCCCCTGGTGGTGAGTCAGGAGGTGGCATGGTGGGGGACTGTTGATGGACTGCTGATTCATCAGGAGAGGAACGGGCCAGGTCTGACTGCAGGGAGGAGGGAGGAGGTGCAGGGAGGAGCTGCAGGGAGGAGCTGCAGGGAGGAGGTGGAGGGAGGAGGGAGGAGCTGCAGGGAGGAGGGAGGAGGAGCAGGGAGAAGCTGCAGGGCGGAGGGAGGAGGGGCGGGGA